GAAGAGGGAAAAGAAAACAGAGAGATACTGCATAGAATCGATGGAAACTTATCGGGGTCTTGATCTTGTAGCCACTGACCCTGACGCCTTATACCCCTGTTCACAGAGATCACTCACCTTGTGTGTGAGCAGTGAGACCGGCTGTACTCCGACACGTAGCTTCTGCGTATGCTCGAACCCGTTGACGAATAGTAACTGTAGGGCCGATCGAGTACCAACCGTTTAATTAACCTCTTTTTTTCGCACTGTCAAGAAATTCGGGATCGGCAGCACGCTAACCATGTGTTTCGCCTTAGTCTTCTAAGTTATCTGTACTATCAGGAATCATTTTATAGGAAAAGGACATAATACTTGAAGTAACCGGTTGTTTGCTCAAGGTTATCCTCATCAGTGTAACGAAAAGAGGCTGTAACGCTTGAAAAAGACAAATTGACAAGAAGTCGATGGAAGTATACATCTGGCCAATCAGTGGAGTATCGACGATAGTAAGACGCCTACTCTTAACCAACTTTCCTCTATACAGACTTCTTTCAATCAGTGTCCATCTTTTCAGTGTACCCAAACGACCAACCCTTTGTGGACATAGGATATCATGAATTCTCAATGGGATGAATATAGGTAATATCTTTAACTATAATCTCCGCTATATTCGTTCCATTTTTACATATGTTCCAATAAAATCTGAAAATATTTCAAACAAATATTATTTCAAATGAAGCCAGCAAAGGGTTAGACTTCCTAAGTTCTGACCGAACAAACTGCACGTGGTTGCCGATCCCTGGAGTTCATTATCGGAATCCCGAACGAGGAAACATGGAAGGGGGAGTATGTTTCGAGAATGGAAAAAAACTCACCTGCCTGATGGGCAGAAGGATCGCCTATACTCGGTTGTATAGTTTGAACGAAAGCCCGAACTGCCGGACGACGTCGAGTAGAAGTTCGACGGTCGATCTAGGATCGACGAAGAAGCAGTAGATCGGTAGGTGTTCAGCTTCGAGGTTGAGGTGCCGATAGCGGAACTGTTGCCGCTGCTACTGCTGGAACATCGTCTGTTAGGAGAATGCGGCGCCATTGGACTGGTGCTGTACGAGACTGCTACGGCGCCCGCCTGGCCCCCACGGTGATACGACATTGCACCCGGGTCGCCAATCTCACAATCTCTCTCTTTTTCTCTCTTTTTGACTTTCTTTCTTCTATAGAAACCCCTTCCTGAATTCCAACACAATTTAGGAGAAATCGGTCAGTGTATCAACTGAGATACTTTCTAAAAGATTTTCTATTACTAGGGTGCTGATGGTTATTATTAGGTGTTCCGAGGGTGTTTGAATCATTCCGGGGGATATTTAGGTCTGTTAACGTAATCTTCAACTAATTATTCTATTAGGTTTTCTTTTTTTTGGTTGACAAATACGAATATAACCGTCTCGAATGTGACAATAAACCTGTACGAATGATGTGAATTAATTAGAGGATGGACCAGGACGGGTTCAATCTTGAAAATGGATTATAATGTTGAACGCAAAGGAACTGATGTAGCTAATCTAGAAAATATCAAATACTTAAAAACTTTTGGGAGAGTTAAGCAATGATAAAATATCTATCTCTCTCGAGGCCTGATATATTATGAATTCAAATCTACAATGAATTTCATAAAGTTCGTAACAAATTAATACAGAAAAATCAAATGACTGGGACACGATAATCCGATTTTCTTCTATCTTTATATTCAGAAAATCTACATTCTTGTACTTAATCCTAAAGGTATGCGTCTGAGGTAATTTCATGCCTAATTCAAATGGTACATATTATTAGAACGAACTTAGAGTGGGAATTAATCGATAACTATTTTGTTCCAGGAGAACAGGAGGAACAAGCTCGATTTTTAGTTTCAGTATTGACCTTGCAACTTGAGCGAGCTACTTCACCTTGTCCTCTTTTTTTCTATGGAAGAATCTACCCGGTGCCCGCGAAAAAACGTGAATCTTCACATGACACTGGAAGCGGAAACCGCATTGTGTTATGCGATCAACCGGATATCGATTCTCTGTCTCCGTGTAGAATAAATTACAAAGGGGAGAAGAAACTCTATCGTCGATACTCCAGCTGTCAAATTCCGCAAAGAACGAGAATACAAAACGAAGAAATGCCAGGGGTTAGTGGGTCGTGCTAAAAAAAGCAAACTGACCTTGAGCCGACGAAAAAAGTAGCTACCTGTGCACTGCTTGATACGACGCGTGCTATCAGTTTAACTACGCTACACACTGATCAAATTAATTCGACAAAAGACTGACGAGTGAGAAATCTAACGTAGTTTATAAATAATAATAACGCAGAATAATAGAAATATAACGCAGTCTTAAGATTTATATTTTCTAATTTGAACTTGCACGATTGTTGCGTTATTCTTCATAGCATTTGACTTTGACTTCTCAATTGTCTTGAAAATCGAAATATTTTCGAAAGCTGTAGGATTACAGATCAAAAGAATTTAGTCACAATAGCAAAGAATTCAAGAACAAAATGTGAAACAATATTCGATAACGTATCACGTCGGTAAATATTCACTGAACTCACTTAAGAGGGAGATAGAAAGGTATTAACAGTTCTAAATTTAACCGAGATACACTAGCTGGTGAATACTTTTTTGAACCCTTCAGTAACAGAGCAAAAGATATTCAATTTGTTACGTAACACGTAGGGTGAAATCAATTTGATAAAACTGAAATCTCGTCACTGAATGACAAAGCACTCAATAATGCAGAAAAGTATCAAAAAAAGAAACCTGCATTACCATCACAAGTTAAGTAAGTCCCATTTGAAATTTATCCTTTAATTTCTGCAATCTTTTTATCAGCACTATTAATTACACTGGTTATAATATTTTTTCTGGAATTAGTGACGCCGTAAAATTGCGCGTGTAACATTTAAGAGGAGAATCCGCGTCTCTGCCAAATACCTAGCGTCAAGAAAGCAGCCACGTTCTTCCCCGGCTTTGGCAAGTATCCCAATTTTCACCGGAATACATCAGACGCGCAAAACCAATATGAGAAACGTCTTGAATTTCCTTAAAGATTGTGTAAAATTATTTCTTTTCCCTTAAATTTTTTAATTGAGTTATTTACTCAAAAATTTGTATCGTGCAAAAGCTTCTATTATACGAGAAATAAATAGCATAACAACTTACAAATTTCATTCTTGTGTTCTAGGAGACCAAAAGTAAGACAGAAGAAAAAAGAAGTATCACGTATAGAAAAGAGCATCTCGCGGAAGAATTATGGTGAAGATATTACAGGTCATCTCTTACGTTTTGCAAAGTCAATAACGAAGTTACGTAATCACGTAAAGAGCACAATTGAAAATTATGTAACTAATCCTGCGATGTGAACCTGCTAGTAGATGCGTGAAGCGTGCGATTTCATTAATTATGTTCAATGTCTTTCAGCGTCCTTTGCAATTTTTTAATTGCAATTTCTCTTAAATTTAGAGGAACACATTTTCTAAAATGATCACAGGACTGATAGAAATTAATTCATTTTCATTCACCGACGCCTCTCGATTATATTTAAATAATCGTATTGTGAAAAAGATAAGTGAAAAAGTCATAATTCGGAACGGAGATGACAAAGCATGGAATTAGTCTGCGTTATTCGATCAATGGATCCACGCCTATTACATCATGGGAATCAGTACACGTGGATCCCTGGCAGAGCAGATTATACGTTTACGCAACGGAAACGATGCAAAACATGTCTCATAACATTTTTAGTATTTCAAATCATTGTTTGTGATGATAATATCGTACAGGGCAAGTGCTATGTAACAATAACTGTACCATTGTTATTTGCCTCTTTTTCCTATTTCAGTTACTAAAGGTGCAAAAAAAGATATGAATAAAAAGTTCTGAAGATAACTAGGTACATGTTTCCTAGTGTGTAAAGCACTATTAAAGAAAAAAGATTAAAATACATTATTCAAAGAAAATAAAGTATATCAAATTAAACATGCTGTTGAAATGTAATGAAGAAGAGAAAACTTTTAAAAATCAAATGTGAATGTATTTCTTCCGAAATCTACAAAAGATGATGTCAAACACAAGCCATCAAAGGAGAACGTATAACAAGTGCACGCGCACGTGGTGATACTTTTGGTTTGCGTACAACTGCACTTATAACATGATTAATAAGACCGATCGAATTCACTTATGGTCTTTAGTAATTCGTACAGTAGCTCGTTGTATTTGTATATGTAACGTGTTGCGTAACGTATATAAGATAATGCAACACATACATGCGTACAATATTTCGAAGTGACGTCTTTTCTGCGAAAGAAAAAGGTAGTGTTTGATTTAAACTGACCATGAGATGAAAGTTTATGATTTACCAAAAGCAATTGTTAAAAAAGAAAAATGAAAAGAAAACAGAAGAAAAGAAACGACAAGAAATGTAGGAATACCGTTTGTTTATTATTTAAATATGAAACTGCGATCAGAAAATCGCCATCTTGCATTTCCACTAGAAATTTTTCGGTCCCTTCACATATCGATTATCACACATAGTTTGTCGTCATTAATTTAAGTAAAAAAAAAAAAAACTATAATGAAAAATTAATAGGATAAAATATTGATACGATATACGTATCAAAAATCATTAATCAAAATAGATTTGCCGTAAAATTCCGAACTATGTACCGATAGATCACATATTAAAAATATTATAATCGTGCATCACAGATATTCGGCTCTCCCTCCCAACTTGATCCAATGAATCAATTCTACAACACATGGATTTAAAGGTGTTAGATTTCTCATTATTAGAATTTTGTATAACTTAAAGTAACCCAAATTAAACAACTAAACTAATTCAACTCGACTCCGTAATATGTAGTATCTTTTTTGTATTTCTTTACTTTTCATATTTTTCGAACATCAAATTTTACATCCACTGACTAAAGATGATGCTGCGGAAGAGAAGCATTTCTTAATATTTCGAATATTTTTATCAAGCTGTTCCAATTTGTAACCTAACCCCACGTTCACGAGGCCAGAGAGTAAGAAAGCGAGAGAGAAACGATAAATTAGGTGCAGGAGAGAAGGAGGAGGAAGAAAGAGGACGGACGGATGAGGAAGAAAGATAGAGTGAGAAAAAGAGGGAAAGAAAGAGAAAGGAAGACGCGTTGATTTGGACACAGCCTTTGGTATTTCTCACGTTTCAAAGTTAAAATCCACGACCCGTATATATAATCATATTTCACACATACGAGTCATTCATTAAAAAATGGAAAATACTCACGGCCTGTCGCCTTTATATAAGTAGAAGGTTTTCACTTGATTAATTCGTCCAAAGTATATATGTACACGGTTTCACTAGAAAACGTCAGTGTACGAACACCTTCGCGTTTCCTCGGTCATGTCGTCGTGTACGCGAGGAATTTAGCTTACGTTTCTTGGTCGATTTTACGGAGACAAAAAGGGAAGGAGAGGCGATGCGTCTCGATGCTCGAAAGCTCGGGCCATCCCTCGGAACTGTCGGTGACGTCACCGCGATGAATACTCGGAACTTTCGATGTGTCTGAGCTGAGGAGATAGTCGCACGACGCTCCTAGAGCCTCGAGACACGATCGATTCACCGCACGGTTTATGTCGATCACGTCACGATGGTCGTTACTGGAAAAATCTTTGATACGATTCCATGCGACTGTAGTTTCGTCACCTCAGGGCTCCGGCTCGAGGTATTTACCTTTCTTTCTACACTTTCCTCTCGTGGCTTATCAAACACTTCCAATACCACGAGATTATCACCACTGACTCGCTAATACAACGTGTGTGCAAACAATATGGCGATTACAAGGCTGCCGATTTCCGCGACTACCGCATTCTGCGCTAGCGCAGAAGAAAATGCCGTTTTGCTTGTCTAGGGTAGAATTTTAATGCCAGTGCTGCCACTTGCGAGCATGCATTAATTTGAACCACCAATCGCACCAGTTCCGCGAAATCTTTTTTCAAATTTAATTTCACTTCAATTGATTGTTTACAGTAATTCATTTCTATATTATATAATAATTTATATTGTTACTTAATTTTTATATATGCTACTGTTAATAATTGATATATTTCTGTATATATAAAGATAAAATAGTAGTAACTTTAAAAAGGTAAACGTTAATTAGTCAAAAAAACTTTGGAATCAAATTGTTTAGCTTTGGCATAACTAAATTTTTGCTGATATGATATGAAAAAACATATGTTAAAATGTTTTATTTATATCTTATATCATTTGTAGAGATTAAGCATCTTTGTTACATTGTTTCTCTACATATTCTATGGCCATCTGTTGAACACGAGCTACCTCTTCTCGAGTACCATGCTCTTCTTCGAAGCTGATAAATTTTTTGAACAGAGTCTTCATTTTTTTAGGTTGTAATATTTGAACAATAGCTCTTTCCAGTACTTTTCTGTAAATACAACATTTTCGTTTCAGCGTAAAATAAGTATGAATTAAGAAGAAAATATTAATTAGGTGATACTTTTACCTTGCTATTTCAATATCATTAGATTTAACTAAGGAATCAACGTAACAAGACCATATATCAACCCGCTTAGGATAGGAACTCAAAATTTGTTCAAACAAAGTTTGTGCTCTCTCTTTGTCACCAAATTTGTTCTCCATAATCGCAAATTTTACCATTAAATTCACATCTACAAAAATTACATTATTATTATTTTATTCTACAATTTCTGTCTTTGCTGTATACATACGTTCAGATGTCGGTAAAGACTGTAGAGCTCTTTGCATAATGTGCCTTGATTTATCTTTCAATCCCATTTTTAACAGTGCTTCCCCACAATAAATCCAAACTTGAGGATTCTGCTTAAACTTTCCAATCATGATATTAATTGTTTTTTCTAATTCAATCTGTCTACTAGCCTCGATATGCACAAGCAACATATGAGTGTATATCTTCAGTGAATCATTTGTCCTCACTGCTTCTTGCAAAACATCATTTAATGATTCAGGTGTTCCAAATTTAGATTCTAAATTCAACCAAGCATTCCAAATATTTAATTTTTCATTTTCCTCTCTGAAATTAATTGTCTTTACAGCTCTTCTCGCAACTGCTCTTGCTTTCTCAATTTCTGTTGTTTGCAAATGATATGCCATGTATTGCAACCAAATTATTGAACTGTCTGGACTAGCCAAAACTAATCTGTCAAATTGATCTACAGAATTTGGTAACTGATTACTAGCTAGTGCTTCTTCTTTTTGACGAATCTCACGTTCTTTTTGTCTTTCTTGTTCTCGACGTTCAGCGGCGCTTAATTTTTTCTTTTTTTGTTTTACTTTGTGCTCTGTTTCGTTCTCACTGTCACTGGATGATTCTTCATTTTTAGGGAGAACTAAATCAGGTTTGTCATCCCAGAAAAATCCACATTCAGATACTCTTGACAGCTCATTATTATGTTCATATCCAGTAATACTATTGCATTTATTTTTCAAATCATCATCAGTAACATTCTCTTCTTTAATCTTTCTTAGCTCGTTTCCTTTTTTCTGTTTAATATGCATTATACTCAAATTTTTCTCTCCTAAATTTCCATCTGACTTCACTTTGCTTTGTGTTTTTTTCTTTGGAACTTCTATATCCAATGTTACCTTCTCAGTTTTCATCTTTTTAACAGGTACTACATTCTCTTGTATGATTTTCTTTCGTTTCAAATTATTATTATCAACTGAATTTTTTTGTACATAATATTTCTTTTCGAATGCAGACTTTATCATACAGATAGGCATTATACTAGATTCTTTAGAATTTAATAATACATAGCATTTGATTTTTGAATGAACACTATATGGTGTTAAATCTAATCGTATATCATTCATATGTCGACGAACAGGCATTGCAGCTAAAATTCCTTTACCAATACCTTTTAAAAGTATCAAAATAAACCAATTTGTTACCATTAAGATTCGACCCCTTTGCTGTTTTGTTTCATTAAATAGTATTTGCTTACTTTGTTTTACACTTATTTTATGCATTATTGATGGCAACATAGTCAATTCAACAAGTTCATGCACATAATTTTTCCACATGATGGTACCAGAAATTTTGTCTCCTACTTTTCTATCTCCAGAATAATGATCTTTGGATACTATACCCAACAAATTATTCTGCAACTGAACAACCAGACCATTAACTGTAATTTTTTCAATCTTTCCTGTAACTCTCTGTCCCAGTTTTACAGACGAAATTGGTCTATTTTCATAATATGGATTTTTCGCTAATTCTGTTAATTTATTAAAATACAGAGTCAAAATGTTTATTGCTGCCATCATCCTGCTCTTAGGATCAGGTAGACCATCATATATCTTTTTCAATAACAAAGTTAATCCTAATTGTTTTTCTCTTTTATTAATAGAAATTATCTTTGCAAATAAAATTTGGTTTATGTGTAGCAGATTAAAATTACTAACATTACTATAAGACACATAACTAAAAGGTGTACACCCTGTAACTGGTAGAATAACTCTTACACCATCTGGCTCAATATCTCTAATTGAACAAAGTATACAGTCTCCTATTTTTAGTTTTTCAAAATTCTTATACTTTCCTTGAGGTAAAAGAGTCCTAGTTAGAATTAAACTAGGTACTGTAGCAAATATCACAGCTGATAGTGTATCGCCAGGAATACATTTTGATGCTAGTAAAGTTGCAGTTTCCATACAGGGTGACATATGTCCAGCTGGTAAAAATCCTGTAGTAACATTTTGTCCATCATTTTTATTAATTCTTAAATATACCCCCTGAGTAGATGATTCTATTATTGTTCCTTCCACTTTTTCACCAATGATGAATGTGTTTTCAGATTTAATATCATTAGTAGCCACACTTAAAATCATTTTTCCCAAATCTTTCTGTACTGATTCAATTTTTACTAAAATCGTCTGCCCAACAGAATAATTCCAATTTACGTCAGATGTTTCCTCATCAAGAGCATTATGAGGAATCCAGCCTTTAGCATCTCCAAAAAACTTTACCAATAATCCACTTTTATGCGTCTGAATAATAGTTCCATGATGTTTTGTTCCAACTTTTGCATCTTGTATTTTTGATAAAATAGGGAAATCACTTGTTATCAAAGACTTCTTCAGAGTGAAGTATACTTTCTTTCGATCAGTATGAATAGACAAGACCCTTGCTTCTACTTCTGTATCAACTTTCAGTTTTGTTAATGCACTTAAACCTATATCAGATACATGGTCTGGTGCAATCTGTCCACTAAATTTACCAACTTGTACATTAATGAAGCCAGTTTCATTATTAATATCTGTAATCTTTACATTTACCACATCACCCAGTTTAAAATCAGAAAGTGAAAAGTACTTTTGTTTTAATAATGAATGCTCCATTGTACATATGTAAGTTCCATCCATCCAGCTATATGACAGTATTCTACATCTGTGCACAGTACCAGATGCAAATTTTTCAATAATTTGATCATAGTCAACATTTGTCCTTTTTAAAGAAACAAATCCTCGTGCCCCATTCTTAGTTAATTGTAATACTACTCCACCAGATTCCCTGAATAAAGCAATAGCTTCTTGTATGACATCTCCAGGTTTAATAGTACTATCTCTAGACCTATCTATTGTTGAACTGAAATATCCAAACTTGATGGTTGGCAAAATGTACAATAATGTAGCAGTAATTTCTAGTCCACTTGAATATTTAGACAAAGGTTTGTCTAGATACAGTTGATTTATATATCCCATATAATTTTCACCTAATGAAACGTACAAACCATTAGACACAACCTTTTTTATAGAAAGATTAAACTTTATGCCTGGCATCAAATTATCCAATGATTTAATTTCCTGTTCATGAATAGCTTTGACAAGTTTCTGTTTTGGAGATAATAATATTGTTAATGTACTTTCACTACTTTTAACTTCTTTAACATAGCATAGAATCTGTTTACCTGTAACTAAATAAATTTCTATGTGAATAATCATTAGTTCCAGAGCATAAATATATATTTAAATTTACTTACACAAACATCTTTCAGTATCACTTTCCTTAGTAGATATGAATGCCCTTACATTTGTTAAGCCTATATCTGCTACACAACCATGATCTTCTGTACTACTAATAGTACATATTATTTTTGAACCATTATCTAAATAAGTTATATTTAAATTTTGATTTATCAGTTTGGGTTCGAGAGATAGTGCAATGTGCCATTTCTCTTGTGGTTGTATAGCTTTTACATAACATACAACATAATCCCCACAGGAATATAACTCTGGAAGGGGTTTAAATTCATTTGTTTGAGGATCCACTGATTCCACTATATTTTGCAATAAATTGGTATAAGATTCGCTAATATCTGTAATTTGAGCACGACCTATCATGCCACCTGGTAAAGATATCATTAAGTCATACTCAGTTACTTCAAAAATACATCCCAACAATATTAATCCTTCAGATATTGTTGAATATGATAATCGTTCTGCAGAATTGGGAATAAAATTTGCCTCTTCTTCATTTTGTTTCTTTGTTTCCTTTTTTCCATGGTTTCTTTTACTGACTTTCTCGTGTTTGTTAAATAACTATTAGAATACATTAAATGGTAAATATTAATAAAATACTAGAGTATAACGATTACTATAAATATTTTTGCAATAAATTTACCGAATCCGATGATTTCTTCTCCTGAACTTTTTTTCCACCTCTTGGAAAATTTTTTAATGTCATCTATGAAAAGTAATTACGCTATTATTATATTACAAAATTTACAAATTTTATTGCATAATAAAAGTATAATTATGATATCTCAGGTATATTGTTAATAAAAACAGTACTTATGTATGAAATTAAAAAATCTTTCAAACAGGGAATTTACCTTCTTAGTTATTAAATGATTATATTTTTACGAAGAATGTGGTAGATTCACATATGGTCGCTATAGCAGTTACCGTCATATTTGAGTTTTCATGGTTATGTAGCACCGTTAACATAACCTTATTTAGTATTTTCCTTTTTTGCCAATAAAAAAGAAAAAAATAAGTACTTCGTGTTATTATTTAATTTTTATCTTTATTGATATATACACATTTTATTTTATATTGTATATAATATGTTGTACATTAATATTATTGATATTATTAATATAAAGTTAGAAATATTATTATTTATTCTGATCTGCTTTGTTTACATTTTCTGTAATAGGTACTTTCCGAATATCAGATTGACATATTAATGGAGGTATTAAACCTGCTGCAACATATCTTCTTTCACATATTAGATGATTATAAATACCACACGCTTGTTGCACTGGAATTATCTCATTTCTGATACGATATTTATGTAATATTTTTTTAATTTTTTGAATATCCTCATATTTATGCTGTGTTTCAAGACCTAAAATTAAGACGTCTAGACTTGGATCTAATACAGTGAATAAAGATAAAGTTGCTTCATTTATATCCTTCGCATTAACAATATCCCATGAAAAAATGGTTTGAGAAAAAATTGCAATAGGACCCACTACTATTGATTTGTCACTCAATTGAAATCCCACCTACAAAAATACTTTCATTAAAAATGTACAATATTATCAGTTAATCTCACAAAATCAAACAATATTTTTGTACCGGTAAACATCTTTCTATCAAAAATGTGTTCACTTGTGTATCAAAAGTTACTGTTGTTTTATTAGGTCCTTCATATGCGTTTTTAATTCTTGAACTATGAAATTGTCTGCAAACAATTAAATATAACAAAATAAATCAAATTTCTTTCTATAAACTATCTCTTATTATAGGAAAATATATATTAATGTTCAACAGTACGTACCTAATATTTGCTAACAATTGTTTTAATATAAATAAAGTGTTAGTTAAAATCATTATAATTAATTTTTACACATAACAATATTTCAAGTGCTACTATTCATTCGATTATATGTTTTGAAATAACTAACTTACTCTACATTTATTATAGTCTATGCTTATTATTAATACCATTTGATTGGTTGATTCAAATAGTATCAAAAATTTCACCGGTACTGGAAAAATATAAAATTCAAAAAAGTGAATAAAATGTAACAATATCCTATTGTAATCGTTTTAGTCTCAAGGCTTATTAGAAAAATTTTGACAAAAAAAGCTAAAGTGGCGTGATGGTACTTGTTTTAATTCATGTTGAGATGTATTTTCAGCATGAAATCTGAAAAGTGCAATCACGCTGCGTAAAACTCAAATGCTTAAAGGCGAATTTACATTTTACATTTTGTGGATACGGTAGTCTACAATTCGAGAATTATTCATTCACAATGAAAAATATAAGTATTATTTTTATTTACATTTCATCTAAAGAACGTCTAAAGTGAATCATGAACGAATAGACTTCCGATCTCTACTTTTAATTAATTAAACACGTATCAGGTATGATTCATTCGTAATAAAATAACAGTGACAAGTTAAAACGCAGCAATTGAACACTGGTCAATTTCATATGCTTCGTAATTGATTATAATAATTTGAAATTTCGCAGTTTTAAAATATCTTTTGAAACACTTTTTATGGAAGATGAGTACTTGGAAAAATGTTTAAAAATATATTTTTACACACCAAGAAGCAATTCATTACATGTTAAAATAAAAATTAAAGTAAATTCGAATTTTTTATGGCTTGTTATTCTGTAAGTTTTGTTTAATATGTAGATATATAATTTGTATTAATAAAAAAAATTCAATATATTCCATTGCCAAGGTCAGTCATTATTATACACTTAAAATATAATTATTATTCGATAAAGATTACATTAATTAATTCATCATTTTTTAATGATTGCCATCTTCTTGATAATATTATTTCTAATTCCAGTTTTCTAAATATATGAGCTCTTGTTTAATGTAAATATAATACTATTTGAGGTTTTTCTTAAACAGTTATTTATCAAACAAATATTTCTTGATTTCTTCTTACGTTTGTTACCAACATTTGCTAAATGTTGTATTCATATTTACACAACAGGGTCACAACAGTTAGAAAAATTCTGTGTAATATAGTAATTCATATGATTTTTCTATTCTTCTTTAGTTATGGAACCTAAAATTGATAGTTGTGTTATAGAGTTTTGTATATGTAAATGTCATAGTCATTTAGCATATTACTTTCGACTTTTATTTTTCTCATCTACTCATCAAGGAAATAAATGATCTAATACTTTAAACTATATTTACGAAACATTAGACAACTTTTTTCTCTCTCTTTTTTTTTAATGTTGCAATTATACCATTCTCACAGTGCCCATCCTCATAGCATTGGGATAGCATCAGGAACTTTTTGCTCAAAAAATCATAATTTGACATTATGTATATCTGTGCTATTGTACATTTATGCTATTACTAGTAAACGTATTTCCTGAATGAACACTATATATTTTTTATCCTGACACTACAAAATAATAACCTCATAACAGTACTATTATAAAATTAAGTACTTTTACCAAATTAATATTGTATATATTAATATTCAAATTTGCATGCAAAAGGTGTTAAACTTTTATATTAAAACTCTTATGTTAATAAAACTTTTGTATTAACTTTTTGTGAGAAGAAATTATATTGGACTTTATTCATTCCTAAATAATCTCTGTAGGTATCAGAATTTTCTATAACAAATTCTACTAATAATTATGAAAAAATTCCTGAATTTTCTCTCTATCCAAGCTTTCACCACTAAGGTCGTTTTTTTCTACTTATATTATACGATATTCTCTTGCAAGATCCAAACTTATTAACTGAATTTCAACATTCACTATTTCAGTCACCGACATTTTGGAATCTAGTGAAATGAATTCAACCATTGAACTAGTATAAATACTCCAGTTTTCATTTTTCACATTCACTACAAATAAATCATCGAGCCATCATTCGTGATGCATATACAAAGCGAAGAAATGTAAATTCGCCTTAAGCTCCATCATGGAGATGTTCGATTGGTTGCGATATCTATTTCCAATTTTAGTGTATTTTTAGAAATATTACATGGAAAATACTTCATCAGATAGAAACAGTTCTCTTATTTCCACACAATATGGATAATGATACCACGGTGAAAATGAGCAAAGGTTGCTGGAAATTCGATGAGGATAATAGAGGTGAGAATGCGATAGGTTATTGAACAATAAATGTCAAAAAACATTGAAATGTAAATAATTACGTATCATTGTATAATTTTGTGTTATAATTATCTTGCTATCCACATATGAAATAATTAATTCCGGTAAATAAATCAACATTATAAAATAGTAGAAATTCTGAATAAATAACTTTATTGCAGTTTATTATAATCCCTATCTTAAAAAAATATGCGTATATTAAATTAATAAAAGTAGATACAAAAATTAGACGTTTATTAATTTTATAGCGCTATACATAGATATTGAAGAAGAAGAAACTGAAGAAGATCGAGAAAATAAAGAGTATAGCCATTGGGATCAAACTCCTGATATGCTTTTAGAAGAAATTTTTTCTTACTTAACTATTCGCGAAAGATATTATGCATCTTTAGTATGTAAGTCATGGTATCGTGCTTTTAAATTACCAAAGGTATGGTCTACCTTTACATTCGAAGATACCACACTTACTAGAGCCAAATTTAATTATCATAGTGGTTGGCAATATGTCTTGGATCATATGAGAACTTCAACATGTTTGAATAAAATTGGAAGAAATTTTAGGTCTTTAGTTTTTGAACCTATGTTGAATTTTTATAATCTCTATGAATTCATGAATATGGTATCTTGGTACACTGAAAAACAAGGATCAGATAATACATCAGTAGCAGGAGTTGGTACTTACATCAGACGACTTAAGTTTACGTTTCCTTGCAACATGACAGACAGCGACAATCCTCATAGTATTAGACTCTTTGGTACTGGTGGAAAATTACTAGAAGCATTGAAAAGGCTAATGGGTAATTTACATAATTTAAGATGCTTAGAATTGATAGATTTGATGTTAGATAGTAAAGATGCTTTAAATTTAATGGATGATATCTGTGCAAATTGTACCCAGACATTATCAAAATTGGTTTTAATTAATACTACAAAGTTTTATTGTCCTCTGCTTCATGTAGGAGTATTTATTAATTTAAGTGTAAGTTTTATTTGATAAAAAAACTTATTAACATGCATATATATCTTTTAACTTAAAATATTTGTTTTATGTGAAGGTCTTAGTTATTAGTCCTCAAAATCTTCACGAAGATGTATTTGATTTAATTGGTTATACTAAATTGCAACATCTTCATATTGTTCAAAATCGTTATAGTCCAAGAGACACCACCACAGTGAGATTGGTAATAGTTACATCAATTTTAGTGTAGAATGTATTTTTTTAAACATAACGATTTAATTAATTTTAACTAATTTAGCCTTCGAGAAAATCTTGGATAAAAATGAGAGAAAACAATCCACAAATTAAAGTACATTTTGAAGTGGAAAGTTATAAACCTACAGATATTTTGCCTATTGATATATTAGAACATAGGAGTATTCCATGTCACAGCATTGTTGTAAATGCTCCATATACAAAGGTCAGTATATGTTGTGAATTCAAAAAATATTGTGAAAGTTGCCTAATAATCTGAAGATTGATTACATAGGGTAAACATTTCAGATTTCACCTTTAGCTATTCTTACTCATGGACTATTTTTTGAATCAACAATAACGGTGTATGCAATTAAAGGTTTAACCAAATATTTTGCACCTAAAAATTTTTCACAAAGATTGGACGTAGCACTTATACAATTTTGCAAAATGTGTCCAAATCTTCATACATTGGTAATCCTTTGTCTTTGAAATAATTTTTGATGTATATTGTGATTTTCTTAAAATCACTATAACTAACAAAAATTCTTAATAGTGTGTGATAGCATGAATTTGAATTTTTCTTATACAAAAGGCTATCTTACTGTTGTGTAAGTTTTATTTAACTAGATTTCATATATAATGCAAACTTAAAAAAACAAATACATTCAAAATATCAAAAACATCTTTTGCAGCTCCTATAGATCTATTTACGTACATATGTTGTGTGGCAATATATCACTGATTTGTCAATACATGAAATTAGGCAACAAGGCAACAGATTTAAATTCAGATCAATTACTGTATCTATGTTTTGGAAGCCAATCAGTGGGAGGCAATATTTTACCATGACACATTTGATAACTTGCCTTACTGAACGAATAATACTTCATACATTTACGTTAATCCACGGATTGGTTTCCATGGTTTCCTTGGTATTCTATACTTTGTCCTTATACGTGGCTAATACATCTGTTAAATAACATTCTCTCAAGTAACTAACTTGTAAAAAAGAGTTTCAGTAGTCCAAATTTATAATTTGACAGATTTGTACATTCTCTAAATATTTCTCTGCAGATGATTCGAGATAAAATTTCAACAGCGACAATTTTAGAAATTGTGTCTACAGCAAAGGGTTTACGTTGTTTGTATGTTCGGAGATATTCGATTTTAAAAAGATGTGATGGGGATTGGTTGAAAATTCTGAATTGGTCACCAGAACATTATCAATGGATCAAGAAATATAGCAGTAGTTATGAAAGTACAGAAAGAGAAGTATCTAGAATATTGAACTACAGATGGCATATGTTATCTGAAAGAGAGTTTAAAGATCAAATGGTGAAATTATACATATGATGTGACTATAAAGAAAGAAAAAAATGATTACAAAAATATTTTATATGAGACAAATTATAATTATATAAGAAACTAAGCCTTTACAAAGTATTATGTGTGTAAAAAATATCATTTGTATAGTTTGTGTAACACATACAGTTCATATAATGTATTTACACCTTTTGGTAGAACTGTAATAAAACTGGAACAAACATAAGAAATTACTACTTAAAAATGATTACTACCTAAAAGTGGATTGGTATGTACAGAAATCTATACCATGATTAAGGATATAATATAATAAAATTATGATAATTGTATCTTCAGTTTATTTTATCATATAATATATAATGAAGAATTCTATACTATATCATAACTTACATAATTATGTACAATGCCAATTTGCGCGCGCGCGTGTATGTATATATATATATATATATATATATATAAACGAAATGGCATATTTAAATATATCTTTAGTTACATCTAGTATATAAGGATGATCATATGTATTATATGATTTTACGTACATTCTAAATCAGATATTATTTACGAAAATTAGAAATCAATAACTCAAACATTGCAATTATTAACTAAATTTTTATGCAGCAGAATGCACAAATATATAATAACAAGTTTTACAAAAATTGTTAATTAACATATCAAACTCAATCGCAATATAATGAGTATCAAGCATTTGTTGTATATACATATTTTAATGTCGTATATACAAAACGCAAAGAAAATTAAACAATTATATGTAACAGTAATTATTTTGACCCATAATTAGAAAAGATAAAATGAATTTTGATTAAAATGAAGCTTAACATAAAAAATTCCTGCTTTTTTCCGGTCATTACTATTTACAATTTAAAGTAGCCTATTGTAAAAGCAGTGAAATTTTTTATCGTTACAGAATGGTTATAATAAATAAAAATATTAATTGAGTTTCTTTTATCTTAAAAAAAGATTATCTAGTGTATAAAAAAAAAAAGTTGAAGAATCACGGTGCCAAGGCTGCTGATCGTTTATCTCGGTTTTTATTACGTTGTATAGTACGCGCCTTAAATGCAGCTGCATTCATCAGTGTCTATAAAATACAGTGAAATTCATTGACTGAATAATTTCATCTTTTGAAAATTATTTTTAATTAATCTCATAAAGTTCATATTAAAAAATTTACCCTTTCTAATTTACTCGTCTTTTGGTTTAATTGTATGGGTAAAACTTTGTTACCAAGATGAAAAATTTCGCGCAGTAGTTGATTTTCTGCAAGATGAATATTTATGCCCGGACCAAGTAATCTACAGCACGCGTTGTACTGAATTCGTGCACACCATCCCTCTAAATACAAAATTTCTTGACCAAATTTTACATGCATTTCTGGTATAATATCTTCCTAATAAAAATAATAAACATTACTAATAATATAACACATATAACTATACACGATATTTTAATATTTTCATCATAAAATGTACCTCTATATAGCGAAGTATATCTCGGAAATTAGCTCTTTGTTGTTTGCGGTCTTTCTTCGCCCTATACTTATTCGAATCCGTAGCCAGCTCTCTTAATACTTCGATTAAGTCTAACGACCAGTTTTGCTCGTAATCACAAGAGAAATCGCGACCTAACTCAAATATTACAGCTAGAGCCTCTCCAGCTGACAACCTTATATCCAAATGTGGTGATTCTAGTAACTCACGTAATCTATTTAAGGACCTACAATAAAAATGATTGTTTTTGTAATATCACGCAATTCTTTAAGCTTTATTAAAGATACTTACGGCATGTAGCTATTGGTTCTATCGCTTGCAAGTAAATTGTATATGTCAGATGGAGCCATTACAGTTAAAAGAAGCGTCCATGATGAAATAGCCGCAGCATGTAATGCTGCAACTTCCCCAGAAATAGTTGCTATAGCACCATTTCCTTTTAAATAAGAACCAGAAAAAATACCAGACAGTAATTGTACAATTTCAATGGTGGCTATTGCGTCATTGCCTGATAAAAATTGATTCATGCTTAAAGCCCAACAACACTGTAAGTAAATAATTTGTTATTAATATGAAAATTGAACTGTTATCTTCTATTTTTGTTTTACCTCTGAACGTGCTTGAGTAGAAGCTGTAGTGTCACTGGCAATAAAAGTCAAAGTACTTTTCAAATCTTGACAAACTATTTCTGCACTTTCGAAAGCTCCCAATTGAACACAAAGCAAAGTACTTAATCTAGCTGCTGTGGATTGCTCTTCACTACGTCCCTTTTTTAAACCTCGTTCCACTGAATCTGTAATAGTCATTTTCCTATCCTCTACAAAGTCTGGAACATATTTGATGGCAAAGATTTTTTCTATTCCATTGAAGCAAATTGTTCTGCCTTTTGCACTCTTCTGTGTCAATCCATCAACTGCTTCTTTCAATTTTTCTTCAAATGTTTCCTGTTGCGCAAATTCATCTACCTCATTATCATTCACTTCATCTAACATACTGCGATTATCAGACTGACTACTGGATATGCTGCATGCATCATTATTGATAGAATCTTCATCAGATGTTAACTCAGTTCTTTTCCCATTATGACCTGTAAAAAAAATAACTTTATAGTATGTAGAGTCTATAATAGTTTAAAAGTAGAAAAAAGTTGTCTGTTCTTATTTTTAAGGTATAAAATAATAAACATATCAATATTTAGATTGAAAATAAGAAGAACAATTAAATTATTAATAATATTGAATAATTAATATACAAATAATAGAAGTCAAAGATGACAGCTGTTAAAAGTGAATGTCATGTTATATAATGTAAAGTCTAAACAGCTGTTACTCTTGTTATTTGATATAATTATACCATATGTGAGTAACTAAATAAAATTTTACCAAATTTACTCAAGATAGCACCTATGATAATAAATTTCATGAAAGTAGAACTCTGTAACTTTTAATTAACAAACAATAGGTATACATTTACTAAAGGCGCTAATAAATATGTATGCTAATAAATACAATTTTTGAAGTACTAATGAAGTTTATTATTAATTGTATTCAAAAATAGATATAAATAATATTTGACTTGTATAAATAACTTTTATTAAATTACATTAAAATTAAAAATTTCATTAAATACAAATTGTATACATTGAAGATAGTTTTTTACTTTGTAATTTCCATAGAATTAATTAATTTTTTTTAAGTTATAAACATTATAATCAGTAAAATAAACGCAAAAGTAACATTTACAGTTCGCAATCAAGATAAAAATATACAAATATCAAGATAAAGATAGTCAATAAAGATATAATAATCGATGAATAAAAAATAATATCACATTGAGTATTACGCGAAACGAACTAAATTTAGTACAAATGATTTTAAAAAAAGCATGGTTATCTTCTGGAAAAATATGATTCATCTACCTAATCCTTTCATTGTCTTTTTATTATACGAAAAATAGTAAGCATTTTCCGTGATCATTCATCATTTTCGTATTGAAATCATTTGCGATTTCAATACGAAAAATCTAATCAACAGAATCAGTATTTTTAGTGTTTCTATACCTCGTAATATAATTTAAGTCTTTGATTCAGTTTGCTCATTCGAACATAGAATTTCCTTTTTCTACTCGTACCTAACCCAGGCCCATATGCGAAAAGCATGAAAGTCACATGGGGATAGGTAGTAGTGACATGATATTATTTCGTCTTGAACATATCGTTACAAATTTCATAAATTGTTGCGGTTTCCTCGATGAACAAATCACTCGATGATTTTATATTCCGTATTGTTAGAAAAAAATCATAATAATTAATAATCCAACACGTGACGTAAGATGAAATAAATATCATTTAAATGGTTGATGAGTCATTCCACGAGAATGCTGATAATTTAATAAAGTACGGTCGGTGTGTATTTAATCAAAATTCTTTTTATTAATAAAGCTTTCAAGATTTTTTATAATAATTGTTTCCAGCCAAAAATGAATAGTATAAATAAAATAAAAAAATGAACTAGTTCGCCTACCGGATTTTCGCCTTCTGCCTCCTTTGCCTGGCATCGTTCTTCACCTTTCTTATTGCACAATTGATACTAAAAGAAATACTTGATCAAGAGGGTAAATGTCTTGCACTATTAATTTTTTTTCGTATACTGAACACTCTGCATGAATTTTTAATTAGAATCTGATAAAAACTCATTAACATGTTGCGAATTGTTCAAAACATACACGTCGAGACAGCCTACGATGGGCTTTCTCAAGTGCACTGTCTTTCACGAGCTGCGAACCTACCCGAACATAGGCGAAAGTGCGGGAAGCGCTATTGCGCAGACGTCACATATTTCTGTGAATATCATGCGTTCACCAATGGACAGATTGTTTTAATGATCTAGGGGAAGCAACCAATGAAAACAAGCCAGTTAAGATAGTGCATGTGCACCATTCATACTGTACTAATTTTAGCGGAAAATGTTTTTAGTTCATTCAAGCATTTCGCGCGCATTAATGTGAAGATATATAAAATATTTAAAGAAATGTTTATATGAAATTTTGTGTGATGTTTATGAGTGTGTAATACATATGGAAATACTTTTTTTTTTCAAAAATATTATAGCATTAATTAATATTGGCATTAATCTATATTCCATTTATTGTTAAAATATGAAAATCATAAGTATATTGAACATTTAAATTTTTACTACTGTGGAGAGATCCGTATTGTAAAATAATTATGATTGAGTATTATCTTGTATTTCTAAATATAAAAAATGGTCTATAATGATACATATTCTTTATAACAATAACAAAATTATATACACTGAAGAAATGCATATATATTCAATCTTAAATATCACGAAAAGATACAACGTATTTACATTATAATAAATTAAAGGTGAATGATTACAATTGTGTAGCTTGTTATTGCATATAATTCGTAGTAATTATATTACAAGTTTGTATGAATTTCCTTGATTACATCACTATAGTACAAAATTAAACATATTCCAAGTGTAGCAAAAGTGAAGAAAGGTCTGTGTTCTAATACAGTTATATTTGTATTTAGTATTTATTTGTGCATTTATATGGTCACATATAAGTATAACAGTCTATTTTGGAGCACCGGAATGTTTAAAATGGTTTAAATTTTTCTTTTTTGTTATAATTACATTTGAATAAATATAGTGAAAAAGTTTTAAAGATCGAAAAAATTGTTTGTTTTATATTTAGATATGTTATATTACTTTCATAAGTATCACATATTATGCTTCATTGAAACTTAAGATAGTTTTAAATAGTAAAATTTATTCCTGTAAAAAATCTCTGCTTTTTGAAGTCACATTTCTTTGTACATAAATTACATTGAAATTAATTTTATATGAGTCTTAATAATGAAAATACTACACTTATTGTAGTAAGTAGACTAACTGTGAAGCTTGAAGTAGCAGAATTTTGTAAAGTCATTGAATTTTGCAAAGTCATCAGATTTTGGCATGGTGTTACTTTCCGTATAAAATTAAGTATAGAGTCCACAATATTTGCTGGTGTTGGATCTGAACATTTTTCTAATTCCCTTACAACACAGCTCTGGATATTAGAAATGTCCCTATAGATACAAAAAAAAAGTATATTTTATATATACATGCTTATATATATGCTTTTTATCATTCTTTGACTACAAAAATGCATTGATCCTTACATGCATTCTTTAGTTCCAAAGACAAGGGATGGGAGGCTGTCTAATTCTGGAAGTGATTCGTTCTTGAAATCTAGTTGAGACATATAACCCTGAAAAGTATTATCAATACAATGTTGCATCTCTTGTTGCTTTGATTGTAAGCACTCTGGTCCATTGGCAGATATAAAAACTACAAACAAAAAAGCAATTTAGTAATATTTAAAAACTAACAGTTTCTTATATTGAATAATTCAGTAGGAGGATACTCACGAGCAATACGATCTCCCTCTTTATAACATACAAAGTTTAAAAGGGAATCTGTGATATTTTGAATAATCTTTTTATTTTCTCGTTCTTCTGGTTCCAAGCATGCCTCTATTGCTGTGGTAAAATTGCTGACACATTTCTTAAGAATAGGGGTCTTGCGGCAATATTCTTTAAATACCATATCCAAATCTCCAGTAGGCTTTTTTTTCTCCATTTCTTCTTCCAGCTGTGTGAAATTAATAAATGATTTAAAGCACTGTTCTAAATTGTCCTTTGCACTTTGAGCATTGTCAAATGCACCCTCTCCCCCATTTTTATCACATTTTTGTTTAAAAGCATTTTTGGTGTCCTCCAAGACTTGTTTCACAGATGAGTTGAAAGCATTCAAATCTATGCTTTTAGATAAATTTAGGCTGTTCAAATCTACGACATTAGAAACTTTATGTAATACTTCTTCCACATTAGGTAAGTTTTCTTGCGAGGTGGTATATCCCAGAGATCCTGTAATTAAAAATAATTCATATATTCATATATCATTGATATATATTATTGATTTATACACATGTTAACATACTAATAAATAGTTTAACTTTATACAAATGATTTTTGAAAAATAATAATATAAATTTTTTTTCTAAAGCATAATATCTTGTAAATAATAAATTTCCAAAATACTTTCTCAGTTGTGCGTTCAAAAATTAATTCAATGAAAATTGTTTTTAGACTAAAAGCTATTAATTACTACATATTGCCTTTAATCATTCTTCTATAGTTTTTATATCAAATGTCGAATAAAATTATGAATCTGAAATTATGATTCTGATTCACCTTCGCGCCTACTCGGAATCTTGTTTTGTAGCATTTCCTGTTTAAGGAGGAAATAAATACGTCATCTTATGTGGACTTTGCAATGGTGTTGCTTTGATTTGTAACCATAAGTTATCTGTTTTTTAACTGCATAGTTTCCGAGAATAATTAAAGCATCGTTTCATTCAGTACAAAATCTACAAGAATTGGAACTAGTTTCAATTATTTTCATTGTTTTACGTATGTATATATTCATAGGTTATAATAAGCGAAGAATTTCTGCTAAAACGATCGAGTAACAAAAGTATATATAATATATTTTATATAATATTTTATTAGTCTATTGATTTATTTATTGTATATTCCATGCATGTTCTTCTAGTAAAAAATTAAAGCAGATTTATAGAGTACAAAGTGCATGAGCTGAATCAACGTGCAATCTGTGCATTCGTCACACGTGTATTCTAATATTTGCCCGGTACAAAGAAAGAACAATGTAATATTAGCTCTACCTCGCATCAGTAATCAATTATGACGATCGTTATAATATGTTTTCCAATATTTATTCGAAATAGTCTTTAAAAATCTATAGAAGACATAAATATTGATAAATTGAATGGTTGGATTTAAATTCAATAATGTATTGTTATCGATTATTTGAACATAAGTGAAGGTTCTTATCATTTCTTGATCATAAAATTGGATATAAGATCTGAGATTTTCTGTTTCCATAAACAACATTGAAAAATAGTTAATGAATCAATGTTTTCGAATAAAATGTACAGGGAACCACTGTCTTTGATGATAAAATATCGCCTGAAATACGAGCGTAAAAAAATCATGTCATTTGTAAGCATGATTTGCACATGCGATCATCTTACATATATATTGAATGTTTTCTTTTGTTTTTGTCGATCGTGCATACGAGTTTCCTTTTTTTTGTATGCAATATTGTGAATCATCATTACAAATTCTGTCAACGAAAAAATAAGCAAAAAAACATTCATTCATTTCTCGAACTGACAAAACGAGCCTTTGAATCCCCACCTAGCGACTTACCACAGAGGAATACCACAGCAATGAGTATGGTCGAGTACTTGGTCATCTTTGTTTTCTTGATGTAGTATGTTTGACCAGTATTTGTGAAGATTTGTCGATGTTGGAATATCCTATCAACGAATTTTCTACGGAAAAATATTTTTATGCGACGGAATTGTAAGACGGAAATACACCTTTAGTTACACATCACTACGATATCACTCTAGTAGTTTTGTAATGCCATTCGAATGTACTCTGTTTATTATGAGAAGTATGCACCGATGTATTAGTGTTAAAGAAAATTAGTGAAAGGAAGAGAGCAAGATATTGTGATTTAGAAAGCGGAGGACAGCGATATACTGTAACGAGTCGCGCGAGCGATATTTCGATACTGAGCTTCGGAGCGCACGCGCTCCGCTTATATAAACCCCTATACTCCTCTCCGCCTCTACGTTAATTTTAATCCAATTTTACGTATATTATGATCTAATACTGGTTATTTTTTTTAAATTTTGCTGTTTCAAGAATAAACAAAATATTTTCCACATACGATACCAAAGTAGTCAGAACTCTACTATTTAATTGTAGTTGGATGTCTTATACCGTAAATTACGATGTAACATTTACGTAGTAGAATTTCGATTGGGTTCCAATGATGTAAAATTCGACTCACTTTTGAAATATTTTATATGTGGAAATATTAAATACAAATTATTTAAGGGCTTGTCATCAATAATTCTCAGTAGTGTAGTGGTTAGAATTACAAAACGTAGTACCACTAAAAATCTCAATCAACACAACAAACACTCTGCAAAAATCCAACATAAATATTAACTTCTACAGAAATACAACAAGAATTGTTGTTATTGTGTCAATAACCTCACAGACAAATTAAATATTCTAGTTATTCATTTCCAATCAGTGCACACAAATTGATCATGTGGGCAAATTACAACTGTCCAATATAATAAAATAAAAAATAAACACTCTAAAAAATAAATTAACATCTGACAGAATCAACAACTCTACGATTTGTATCTTTGTTCAAAATAACACAGCTGACAATCCACATAAACTTCAGTTCTCCACGAAGGTATACATATTAGACATAATCTTAAGTAAACTTAACAAAGAAAAATCTTCTACCTACAATTGAATACTATACGTCACACTAAAAAAATTATCCCCTCCTCTGTTTTGTCTATTACTGCACCATATTATTTATTCAGTTGTCTGAATTCTTACATACTTCTCTACAGCTTGGAAAACAGCTAAATTAATAACAATTAAGAAAAAGGACAAAGACGGAAACTATCCATCTAGCTACTGTCTGATTAGTTTGCTATCAAACACTGGTAAAGTATTTGAAATAGTGATTAATAAATCTCTGTGCGAACAATATGAAAACCATAATATAATTCCCAACTGCTAATTTGGTGTCAGATTCAAGCACTTTACATTTCACAAAATAAACAATTTTATATCAGACATCTGTTGAGTCAGAGATGCAGCAGACCATATTGGTACGTGCTTCATAGATTTACAGAAAAGGTTTGACACAGTGTGGTTTGACAGGCTATTTTTCAAACTAATTAATAAATAATTTCCAATATACCTCATAAAAATACTCTAGAACATATTACGCGATAAATGTTTCTATGTAACAGATGATGACAACAAACCCTCCAGATCCTTTAAAATTAAATATGGATTTCAGCAAAGAACAGTTAACTTTCCTATTTTATTTAATATCTTTATTAGTGACCTCCTTCAACTTTACAACTTAAATAAGAATGCAAACAAGTCATTCATAGCATTCGTACATGACTTATTCATATACGTAAAAGGTAACAAACCTTCTCAAATAAAAATAGAATTTCAAGAACAATTTAACAAAATACAAGACTATTTTAAAACCTGGAACTTAAAATAAACATACTCAAATGCAAATCAATCCTATTCAAACCATACATTCTTAAAATATCAAATACAAATTTAGACGTACATGCAAACTTAAAGAAATTTTCAATTCACGTATTAGACAATGCAAATATTACAATCCCACATAAGCAGATAATTCATTATCTAGACTTGAAATTAAATTATAATGCCCACATTAGTTTTCAACTCCAAAAACCTATAAATGCTTTCACTGCAAACAAAATACTATTGTACTTGAAAGATCTTTGTAAAACAGTCAAAATACTCTGTTACAAAATTTTGGTAAGATTCCTAATTACCTATGGCTGCCAAATATGGTTTAACATCAGTGAAGGAATCATGGAAAAGATTAGAGTTTTTGAACATAAGTGCTTGAGAAAAAATTTGGGAAAATACAGAAAACGTGAATCAAATTGCACAAAATTTATCAACAATCACAAACTATACAAAGAGGCCCAAATAATCAGAATAGATTTGTTCATGTTAAAGCTAATTAGAAACCATTAGTGTAACTTAAACAGATATTTGATAAATTTTACCTAACCCAAACCCTCTCTACTTTGAACACATCAGACATGCAGGCTGCACACCACCTGACTCATTTACCTGCCTGAGCAAAGAAGGTTTCATACAAAACACAAATAACATCCCTTTATCACTACAACAAAAAAATCCATTACAGCAGAAATACTGCACCAGATGACAAAAATCTAGAATTGATATATAAATTATCTTCTTTAGATGTAAATAAAAATCCCCAAAATAACCTCGAAAAGTACCGATGGCTCGAGTAGTTTACTTTTCTGCTATTTTCATCAAAACCATTAAGCTATAATCCAATAAACATATTTTTCATAACACAAAACATCATCTAACAAGAACATTAATCTAAACACTAATACAATCAACTCACCTCGAGAAGCAAATCTCAGAAATGTACGGAAAAATGTAATAGCGAAAGTACTTGTAAATCCAATACAAATTACTAACTGAACTTATTACTTAGATTAAATATAACTAAACTAGTCTCTTAAATAAGGTTCCAAAGAAATTGTACGTAGAATATCCTCAATAGTATAGTGTTGTATCCTCCCCCCTCCCTCCCTCTCCAAAAGGGTAAAACTCTCAATACAGAATTTTCCGTAATAATAATTATTTTCCTTTTTACTTGAATAACCTTCTCGCTAAAAAAAATAGAGAGGAAAAACGCTAAAAATAAAAGAAAATAAACCAACAGGCGGGAATGCCCTGACATTCGAGGAATGGATGAAAAGCGATAAGCGCGCATTGAAAACAAAGGAAAGAATAGGAGATAAAGCAACCCTATTTCAGGCTGGCACTGGGTAGTGGCAAGGATTCTCAACAAATAAACGAAAAATAATTACTCAAAAAATCCATACATAAAGAAGACGTCCAGTTAACAAAAATCATCAGGCAAATAATCAAAAATAGAACAACAAAGAGACTTCAACTAACACTCAACCTAATCACCAGGAAAACAAACAACGTAAAAGAAATATCGGCAGACGATATGCCAAAAATTAAGAAATGGAACAACGCAGCAGAAGGGATCGCAATTAATAGTAATAATTAACCAACTCAACCAAATAATAAACGAATTCAAAAGACAACTACAAAACGAACGAGAAGCCAATTTAACAAGAGGCAGGCAAGCGACAAATTTAGGAGCACTTTCTGTACATAATAAATATCAAATACTGGACATAATGAGCAGTGTAACCTTAAATTCAACCTCAACCATGAGTTTTAAAAAGTCACAAAAAGATGAGAACCCATTTAATTCTCCAATTGTCGACCGTAGATGAGCGACGTGGCAAGCCGGCACCGGGTCATTTTTGACCCATATCTAAATTTTTACTGTACTTGCTTTGCATCTAACTTTTTGGTACAGGATATTATCTACTAATGTTTATCTAATAATATAAATATGAATAATATTTATAATACGGGGAGGAGACTAGTTTGTTTAAAAGATGTAAAATTTTATAAATATATTTGTTATTTATGTGCATTGAGTATATACAATGTTATATACAATGTTATGTTTTATTGCATAGCTTTTTTTTAGATATAAATCGTGAACATTTGGCACATTTCATACCATATTTGTGAAAATTGTAAGAATTTATAAAATAAAAACATATTTGACTGATAGTTTCTTTTCGCTGTTACACTGAATATTGCTAGTTGGAGATGTTTGAACTCTCCACGCAGTTAGTTGTTTTCGTCAACGAAAACGAACGAAAATTTCGCGTCAACGGTGACCTGGTGTCTGCTAGGCGAGGGTTAAGAAAAAGGATGATACCATCTCCCTTGACAGTCAATCGTTGAAGAGGAAGGAAAATTCGGGATACACAGAAACAGACAGCCACATAACGAAGAAAGAAAGAAATTCTTTGACCGCCCTATCAACGGAGAAGAACAAAGCAAGAAGACTCCGAGATAACCCCCTATAAACACCTTTAATCGAAGGACACGGTAGATAAATATAATAAAAAAAGCAGATATAATCCGAAACTTTTTTATAAAAATAAGCAACACCATCAAACATCTATTGTACCTCGGGAACGCCATAGATTTAATTCATAAAATGTCAATGAATTCGTTACAAAAGGATTAATAAACGAAAACAAAAAACAATCAATTTCAAACAAATGAAAACAATAATAAAAGGGTCCAAATACAGTGCCGTAGTGCTAAAGGATAGACCGAAAGGATAACACGGTCGAATATGTGCAGGCGCGTTTCTAGTAAACCTAGAGAAAGCTTTTAACATGGTGTGGCTAAACGATCTCTTCTTTAAACTTATAAAGAGAAACTTTCCGCAGCATCTTGTCAAAATAATCTGGGTTATATTGCATGATAAATTGTCACCGAAAACACTTCTATGTCCAATTTTTGTACTACGTCCGCATGTGCATTCTAAATAACAACAATAATATATAGCTTTCATCGACGATTTACTAATATTTGTAAGATACTTTAGTGCCAAAGAGACGTAGTTATAAAACAGTCTTAAGTTTAAGTGAATGCTTGGGCCGTTCCACGAAAGGGAGTGACAATAAACAGACTTCGGTTCGGTTTGGGTGTTCAGGCTAAAGACTGCGAATGCATGCGGAAGGACGAGAGTGACCGCGTGCAAGGGCATTGTATGGAAGAAATATTTATGGTAAAGTATCGAATGCCAGTGCAGAGTGAATGAGTTTGGTAGAGGATAGAATGCGAGGTTAAAATAGATGCGTGTGGACGCGAGCAGGTCAAAGTGTGTTTGGGCTAGCCAGAGAGTGTTTGGAAAAATCAGTTGACAGTGTGAAAACAGCGAGCAGTAGAGTAGGTCGGTAGTGTTAGAGTCAGTGTATGGTTTACTAATTATATAAAAGACAATTTATATAAAAGAAAATATATATAAAAACCCGCGAA